AGGGAGCAGTGAGGGTGAGTGGTGATTGGTGAGGGTGTGATTGGTGAGATGGTGAGTGGTCAGGGTGAGTGGTGAGCGGTGAGGGTGAGTGTTGAGGGTGAGTGTTAGGGTGAGTAGTGAGGGTGAGTGGTGAGCGTGAGTGGGGTTGTTGAGCGTGACTGGTGAGGGAGAGTGGTGAGGGAGAGTGTGAGGGAGAGTAGTGATTGGTGAGGGAGAGTGGTGAGTGGTGAGGGTGAGTGGTGATTGGTGAGGGTGAGTGGTGAGGGAGAGTGGTGAGGGAGAGTGGTGAGGGAGTGGTGAGGGTGAGTAGTGAGGGTGAGGGTGAGTGTAAGTGGTGAGGGTGATGGTGATGGTGCGGTGAGTGGGGAGGTGAGTGGCGGTTATTAGTGGTGATTAGTGAGGGGTGAGTGAGGGTGAGCGTGAGTGGTGGGTGAGCAGTGAGGGTGAGTGGTGATTGGTGAGGTGTGATTGGTGAGGATGAGTGGTGAGGGTGAGTAGTGAGGGTGAGTGGTTGTTGTGAGGGTGAGTGGTGAGGTGAGTGGTACGAGTGAGTGTGAGGGTGAGTGACGGTTTGGAGGTGATTAGTGAGTGGGTGAGGGTGAGTGGTGAGGGTTAGGGTGATTAGTGAGGGGTGAGTGGTGAGGGTGAGTGGTGAGTGGTGAGGGTGAGTGGCGGTTGTGAGTGGTGATTATGTGGTGAGGGTGAGCGTGAGTGGTGAGGTGAGTGGTGAGGTGAGCGGTGAGGGTGAGCAGTGAGGGGAGTGGTGATTGGTGAGGGTTGATTGGTGAGGATGAGTGGTGAGTGGTCAGGAGTGGTGAGGGTGAGTGGTGAGGGTGAGCGGTGAGGGTGAGCAGTGAGGGTGAGTGGTGATTGGTGAGGGTGTGATTGGTGAGGATTAGTGGTGAGTGGTCAGGGTGAGTGGAGGTGAGTGGTGAGCGGCGAGGGTGAGTGTTGAGGGTGAGTGGTGAGGGTGAGTGATGAGTGTGGTAAGAGTGAGTGGTGAGGGTGAGTGACGGTTGTGAGAGGTGATTAGTGAGTGGTGAGGGTGAGTGGTAGGGTTAGTGGGAGCATGAGTGGTGAGGAGAGTGTTGAGCGTGAGTGGTGAGGGTGAGTGGTGATTGTTGAGTGTGATTGGTGAGGATGAGGGTGAGTGGTGCGGGTGAGTGGCGGTTGTGAGTGGTGATTAGTGAGGGTTGTGTGGTCAGGGTGAGTGAGTGGTGAATGGTGAGAGTGAGTGGTGAGGGTGAGCAGTGGGGGTGAGTGGTGATTGGTGAGGGTGTGATTGGTGAGGATGAGTGGTGAGTAGTCAGGGTGAGTGGTGAGGGTGAGTGGTGAGGGTGAGAGGTGAGGGTGAGTGTTGAGGGTGAGTGGTGAGTAGTGAGGGTGAGTGATGAGCGTGACTGGTGAGTGTGAGGGAGTGTGGTGAGGGAGTGGTGAGGGTGAATGGTGAGGTGAGTGGTGAGTGGAGGGAGAGTGGTGAGGGTGAATGGTGAGTGGTGAGGGTGAGTGGCAAGTGTGAGGGTGAGTGGTGATTGGTGAGGGTGTGATTGGTGAGGATGATGTGGTGAGTGGTCAGGGTGAGTGTGAGGGTGAGTGGTTGTTGTGAGGGTGAGTGGTGAGTGAGTGGTGAGGGTGAGTGGCGGTTGTGAGTGGTGATGGGTGAGTAGTGAGCGGTGAGGGGTGAGTGGTGGGGGTGAGTGGTGAGGTGAGTGGTGAGGGTGAGTGCTGAGTGGTGAGGGAGTGGTGAGAGAGTGGTTAGTTTTGAGGTGAGTGGTGAGGTTGATGGTGACGTTAGTGGAGAGTGGTGAGTGGTGATTGGTCAGTGGTGATTGGTGAGGATGATGTGAGTAGTGAGGGTGAAGTTGAGTGGTGAGGGTGAGTGGTGGTTGTTACGGTGAGTGGTGAGGGTGAGTGGTGAGGTGAGTGGTGAGGCTGAATGGTGAGGGTGAATGGTGAGAGTGGTGAGTGGTGAGGGAGAGTGGTGAGTGAGAGTGTTGAGGGTTAGTGGTGAGGGTTAGTGATGAGATGAGTGGGTGAGGGTGAGTGGTGATTGTGAGTGGAGGGTGATGTGAGGGTGAGTGGTGAGGTGAGTGGTGAGGGAGATTGATGAGGGAGGTTGGTGAGTGGTGAGTTGTGAGGGTGAATGGTGAATAGTGAGTGGGAGTGGTGAGTGGTGAGTGAGTGGTAAGGGT